AGTTATCGGTATAGGTTTCTAGCAAATACTGATAATTTTTGTTGACTGTTAATACCTTTAAAATCCATTTTTAATAAATACCTATACGAAATCAAGTTGCCGTTTCCTAACATTAAATGAACCCTTTATTGTTGCTTGATTCTGTTTACAGTAGAAATAGGGAGATCTGTTTAATAGTTTTTGTAGTTAGTATTCATGCGTTCACTTCAAATTGAATACAAACAAAGTGATGTCTACATGCCTAGACAGTTATCTATACTAAAACGTGATCGCCAAAATGTAATTGCAATATGGACTTTGTATACACTCCGAGTGTAGCCCTTCCAGGGTTACTGTCGGTTTCGAAACCGAGTGAAGAAGTAGGGTTGGGCATGAGATCCGCCACCACATCCCGTAGAAAACAACCTTGCTAAAATACGTTAACCAGAGTAAACAATTTAAACCATTCAAACTCTGTCTTTTGAGCTGAAGGATCTTCATATAGAAGAGTTATGACGTCTCATGATGAAAATCGAGATTCTTCGGGTGTCAGGAGGTTGATGTTTCTTCTAACAACCACAGCAACAATTTATATAGGTACGTGGAATATCCGGACAATGCAGGAGATCAAGAGGATCAACCAAATAGCTAAGGAAATGAGGAGATACAACTTGATGGTGTTCTAAATCAGTGAAACCCATTGGACTTAAGCTGAACAGAAAAGGATAGATTCAGGAGAGATGCTGCTATACTCTGGTTGTGAAGAAGTAAATGCTCCGTACACTTAAAGATGTCCTCTGATGCTTTCCAAAGTAGCGCGTAAAACACCCATAGGATGGGAATCTCATGGATTCAGGATCATCAAAGCATCCTTTAAAACAAAGAAGGTGTGAATCACAATGACTTATCTAATGTTATGCACGAGAATGGTGACAGATTTGCACATTTTTCTGCATTCAACAAGATGCTTATAGACGACAAGGTATTCCCACACAAGATCATACACAAAGCTGCATGAGTCTCATTGAATCACACTACAAAGAATCAGATCGACCATACTTGCATCAGCAAAATATTCTGAAGGTGAATAAAAGACGTGAGAACCAGCGAAAGGGAAGATATAGCTTCAGATCACCATTAACTTGTGATTGCTAAGATGAAACTGAAGCTAAAGAAGCGCTGGACAACTGAACAAACAGCATCACAAAGGTTTTATACAGTCTTTCTTCAACATACTGATAAACTCAACCAATTTAAGATAACTCTTAACAACAGGTTCCAAGACTTATAAAGAAGAAGGAACTACTATGGTGGACAAGTGAAAAGGCATCAAAGAAGCACTAACTTCAACGTGTCTGGAGGTACTGGACCACAAGCATTTTCTTCATATGGAATGGATCTCTGTAGAAATCGTGAACAAGATTCAAGAAAGGAAGAACAAGAAGACGGTAACTAACAAAAGTTGAACAAGAGTAAAGAAAGTGAAGACGCAAGCTGAATACACAGAAGCAAACAAGCAAATGAAGGAGAGAAATAAAGCCGACTAGCATAAATACGTGGATGAACTAGCAGTGAAAGTAAAAAAAAACTTCAAGAGAAAGAAATATCAGAAAACTATAAGACGGGAAATATGGTGAACCAGAGCGGCCAGTCGAAGACAAAGAATACAAGTCAACTACTAAGATTCAAAAACAGGGAAACAGATAAGTAGAACTCTTGAATAGACATGCCAAACTGAGCTCACCAAACATTGAAGCAATACACACAGACCATCTTATAGCTGTTACTCCACCAACGATCAAAGAAGTCAAGATGGTCATCAGCCAAATCAAGAGTGGGAAAGCCGCAGGACCTGACAAGATACCAGTTGATGCACTGAAATCAGACATGCAAGTAACTGCAAACATGCTCCACATTCTATTCAGGAATATATAGGAGAATGATCAATTACCGACAGACTGGAAAGAAGGGTACCTCATTAAGATACCAAACAAGGGAGATTTAAGCAAGTGTGGGAACTGTAGAAGTATAACACTATTATTGATACCAGCAAGAGTTTTCAACTGAATTTTGTTGAACCAAATAACGGATTCAGCAGACGCTTGATTTCGAGATCAACATACTGGATTCTATAAGGGTCGATCAAGGCAGAGACTAAGTCACGACGAAGCTCTAGATAAAGTGGAAAATTTCAGGTAGCCAGAAACAGGATTATCGTTAAACAAGGAGAATCTGACTCAGACATAAAGGCGAGGATTGGCAAAGATAGGACAGCATTCCTACAGTTTAACAACATATGTAACTAAATGTATCTGTCTGCAAGCCAACATAATAGTCACGATCTTCAATACGAACTTCAAAATCGTTCTATTGTACAGAGCTGAAACTCGGAGAACTAATACAACCGTCATCAAGAGTGCACAGATATTTATAAACAATTGTCTACACAAGATACTGAATACCCGTTGGTCGGATACCATCAGCAACATTCTACTGTGGGAGAGACTAGCCGACTTCCAGCTAAGGACCAAATTAGGAAAGGACGTTGCAAGTGGATAAGACATATATTGAAGAAATCGTCAAACTGCATTACGAGGCAAGTGATGAATTAGAATCCTGAAGAGAAAAGAAAGAGAGATAAGCCAAGCAAAATATTGTGTTGGGAACTGTAAGCAGACATGAAAAGAATCAACAGCACTTGAAAACAACTAGATAGGGTTGCCTAGGACAGAGTTCGATTTCGAATCATGGTGGGTGTTGGCCTATGCTTCTAAACGAGTGCTAACAGGCGTAAGTGTACATGACATTAGTTATTACTTAAGAAACAATCGGTAAAGTTGCTTTTATTCTGCACATTAAATTGACTTAGATTATTAACCATTAACTATATTTCCTGTTATTAGTATACAAACTAAGATTATTTTGTAACAGTTTATCCTGGTCGAGAATTATTTTTGGTGACTATCTTCATCTATCTATGCTGAACACTTCAATTGTTTTTATAATTATTGGAGAACGTGCCACTCAAAATTAGTTGTTTATTTAAAACTATAACGTGTTCGTATCAATTTTTGAGTCAATACCTAATATTTTATTTTCATAAATACAAATTGTTTTGTTTTGGCACATCTTATAAATAAGTTCGAAGATAAACAACTCCATACTGTTTACGTTCGTAAATTGCTAAAATAATTGAACATATTCTGTCACTCAAATATGTTCTACATTATATTGAAGTATTTAATGGGAATATTTACAGTTGACTGATCATTAATTTGTAATCAACATCATGCTTATATAGTTTTTAAGTGTTAATTGAATTTTGCTGTCTCCATTAGTCTAGGTGACTTGCCGTTCGATGGATTATGTGTAGGTGTAGTGACCTCTCAGTCTTGGAAGCTGGGCGACGTAGGCTCAAATCCTACAATGATATCTAGTTACCTCAAGATTGCAAATACTTCTTGTCGACGAAGGCTTAGTAACAAAAAACCATTTGATTACCCTCAATCACCTGGCATGGAGATATTTTCTAGCGGATTACCTAACATTTCTTGAAAATTAAATGCTTGATCCTTGAGTTATTACTTACTTTGAGCATAAATAAATGGTGACTATCAGTATAGGGTTTTGAAGATTGTTAAGTTTCTGATTGAGATCATGAATCGACCACCATTGAAAACCTGGAAGCACTGGACGATCGTTTTGTCCTTGTACTTGGCTCTTCAGCAGTACTCATTCATAATCCCACTTGGAGATTTGAAGCCAGGACCTTCGGTCTCGAGCGTGAATGCCTAACCTCCAGACCATTGAGCTGGCCGGTATTAGAGGATGTTAACGTCTAAATTTAATTAATCCAATCTAATAATGAAAAAGTAAATGGAAAAGGCTTTCCTGTTAAGAAGTTACGAGGATATGGGTTGTTTTTATTTGTTTCTTATTGTGTAATTTGTGAAAATACAGATCTATTTATTTCTTTGATTGTCTTTTTTGACTGTTTGTTAAATATATGTTATATTATGATTGGTTAAGTAAATTTCCTACTTAAATTATGTATAAAAAGTTGAAACAGTATTTGTTTTGAACCGACTAAGTTTTTGTTTTTACGAATAAAAATAGACTTTACATTTATTTACCTGGTGAGTTTGATGGTATAACCAATTTGGAAGAGGAATTATTCTTTGTCTATAACAATCCATAAAAAATCTTTTAATGTTGGATTTGATGGTGGAGAAGATTTGTAGCTCAGGTGGATGATTTTGATGGATGTATTAAATAAAACGAGTAAAGATTAACATATATAACAAGCCTGTCCTTTTTTTAAATCTAATTGTTCTAAAAGTCAAAATGAGTAATATCTTCCTTTGTACAGATATATTGGGTTAGAAAAGATTTTACTAAAATATGATAATTAAAGCAAGCATTCATTCGTGAAACGTTTAAAACTTATGTTACATGAGGTTATTTAATAAGAGAATACGGATTCAAATACGTAAAGCGAACTAGTGATTGTGTTAAGTTATAGAATGGATTCTAGATCAGAATATTATGTTATTACAGATTATTTTACTATAAAATGACATATAGGATTCTCATCCTTATTTCCTTTAGTAAAAATGCACATAATACATGAAATGTATAAGGCAAAACGCCAGAGAATCATTTATTTGAGTCATTTGAATAGCTGGAATGAAACCTCGTCTTATCTACCACTGCTAAGAAAACATCATTTAATTAGCTTTAATGATATTCAACAGTCTAAGATTAAGCTAATTCTCTGACGATAGATAATATGACAAACATAAAAATAGTCACTACCAAATAAATATTGAATGTCTCTTTGTAATAGATAACAATCAGTGAAGTGGAATACAAGAACGAATTTCAACTCTAGATTTAAAAGTATGTAGGTTGTGAAAGCCAATCTTTTTTTTTCTTTTCTGGCCTTTATTTTTATTTATATCAATTAGACTTTAGGCAGAAGAGTATTCTGTTCTGTAGAATTTATTCTTAACGTTGATTGGTTAATTGATTGACTGGTCTGAAAATATATTAGTCTGATAAGTTGATTGGTTAAACGAAATGAGTTGCCAAGTATTCTTTAGAATAATTGGATTTCTATTATTATTATTATTATTATTATTATTATTATTATTATTATTATTATTATTATTATTATTATTATTATTATTATTATTATTTAAATATAATTTCAATTTTAAGTAATCTTAAAAAAACAAACAAAGAGTTTACATTGACTAAAATAAAATCATCAATTTTACAAAAAAAAGAAGGAAAAAGAAAAACTGAACTGTATAAACCAAACAATCTTTTAATGTATTTACGACTTCCTTTATTTTATATTAATTTTTTTTTCGGAAATATTTTGAAATTTTATATTAATAGTTCTTTTGTAATTGAATGTTGTTACTTGATGAAATAGATGGACCATTTATTAAAGTATCCAATAAAGTAAACATAATTCTTGAGTAAGATTAAAAAAAGTCATAATCTATTCATATAATATTGATATAGAATTTAGATGTTCATTAGTGTTACTTAAGAGTAATGCAAAGGTATTGAGTAAATGTGTATAACTTAGAGAGATTTCTAATGTTTTTCTTAAGAAAATAAATGAAACTTAAAAAATTGATGATGTGTATAATTATGTCTCTTATGCATACCAGATTTAACACAATATTCATAAATGCATGCAGAACTAGTCAGATTTTTATGCAAAAACTGAGCTTTAAAACATTCGAAATGAATGTTATAAGCTTTTGAAGAAAGAAAAAGCTGCTTTCATATTATAAAAGGAATATAATCAATGAAGTAAAAACTATCAAATATAAGCGTGCTTTGAAAATGACTTAAATTTATTGTTGTTATACAATAGAAAATGTTTTCATGTTAGTCAGTTTGGAACATGCTTTCCACTAGTAATGAGGATATGGATTAAAGTTAAACATCAAGTTAGAAATTATTTTTAAAAGTGTTAGTTTATTTCAAACTGAGTGATTTATTCATTAATTACATGATTGAGTAACTCAGTTTAGATAACACAGAACATACAGAATACTCTTCCTGAACTATTAACCTTCACAATCTTAGTAATCATTTTTTTATTAAAATGAAATGTGAAGCTTTCAGTGCATAATAAAAAACTTAACTGTAAAAGCTAAAGTAAATGTATTTCAAAAAAATAAAAGTAGTTACCAATTACCATAATTAGTAATTAACTTTTGGATGTCCAATAGTTTTATAACTAAGAAACATGGTTTCTATAAGACTCATTAGTTGAATGATCCATTGACTACATTCAATTAGATAGCATGAGAAGTATTTTATTTTCTAAATTTAAATTTGTGCAAGTTCCGTTTAGGTAAAAAGAAATGATAAATTAGTAAGAAGTACCATTTTACATTCATTGTTAATATAAACGTCACTTAATATAATACATGAATTCCCCTTATTTATATGCACGATGGGATTCTGAAGTCGGTAAGATTGAAACCATATTTCAAACTGTTTTATTTCAAATCATTTTGACCCACATCTGGTAGATATAAAGGATTTATAGTATGGTAAATTTATTACAAACAAGATATCAACTTTGTTTTTGCCATTAAGCAACATTTAATTATGAATATATCATTCGGTAACAACCAAACTTCTCACAATAACGTATTTCCAATATCATATATTCATATTGATTATTCTGTCCCATTATCATTATTTACAAACATTATTTAATTCGAAAATATAAGCTTGTGTTTCCAATGTAATTCAATTACTTATTTTTATTTTATTTATTGAATGGCTGAAATTTACATTGAAAAATTACCGTAAAGTACATACACACGTACATATATATTTATGTATACACAAGGGTACAACTTTTATTCACAATACTTTCAAAACAAATAGACTAAATACTTGTTTTTGATCATTTAATTACATCATCAGAATCACAAACTTTTCCGAAATTTAGTTCATGCATTTGTTTCGTTCAGATGTCTAGTTATACATATATATATGTAAAGAGGTAAATGGAGAATTCTGTAGGTATCTGTTTATAGAGATCAGTAGGTAATTACACAGAAATTATAAATATGATTTTTTGTTTGTTTGAATTATTGCTTTCTAAATTTAAACTGTTTTACATTTTTAGATTGTTAATGGATTGATACGCAAATAATACAAGTTTCTATAAATGTAAGTGGTCGTTATGATTTCTCAAGCGAGAATTTAAGCTTGATGATTCTTTACTGCTAATCTGGGTTATGTACTTTCCATCATATTAGACAGATTTACATACTACATTATGTTTCGGAAATGAGATATTTTTTAATGGTGTTATTTATACATTAAGTATTTACTGGACAATGGATCATATCATGTTAAGTAGTTAATGTCTATAATTTAATCAGAAGTTTATAGATTACAACATAATGTTCGGAACGAAGTCTTAAGATGATATAACGTTATAAAAAATAAATTGTAAGTAGTCATCTGGTGGATGCTTGTTTCTGATAGTATGACGGACAAAAATATAAGCACTGGGCTTTAACTAGGGCTTAGAATGAATGTAATGAATAATGTTTTACAAATCTGCAAAAAATTAAGTAAACTTGTAGGGAAACATGGAATATAATATAATTATGTGAATCGTTTTATAATCTAACAGTAGTAATAATTGTTATGTTCTATGCTCCATCAAATATCAAATATTGCCAATTAGAACACCAACTTATATGACATTGATACTGTGCCAAACCGCTAACGCGTTAACCAGTGAGAGTGGCCTAGAGTTAACTCAGAGTCTTTATTAATTCCTTTTGCCTTGCCCTGCCCATTGAGTTCAGAACACAATCTCATCTCTCACTGCATGAATCATATATTTCAAACATACGTGGTTTATATACAAACGGACCAGACCACATCACTCCATTAAATGAAAAATACCAATTATACAAGATCAGGCCAAAAGTGGCTATGAGTGTAAGATACTGTGGCTAATAAATAGGGATAACTTAAGAGTAGTAAGTCGTATAATGGGAGCCAATCGCTCAAATGAAAGCTTATAATAAGCGAAATATGAATGCACATAATCTAGTTAATTAATAGTTATGCAATAAGAATATATATAATAACACTCCATAAATAGTTCCCAGAAGTTACCCATAATTTAATCTTCTTCAGACAACACAAGTAACACATTGTGTCACTAAAAATCGATATATTGATTTTCAGGATAATTCACAGTTTCCACTCAATCTAATAGTTATATGTCATATTTAATAAAGTTTATTAAATGGTTCATAAGTATGAAAACTAAATAAATGAATTTTTACTATTAAGTAATAGAAAAGATCTTACAAGTCTAAAAACTACCAAACGAACCTTTGATAAAGCAATGTCAACAATACATATCTACATTACAGCATAAGTAGCTATAGAAATTATGGATATGGATAACATAATTCTTTTGAAAAAAGCTTATTTAATTTGAAGCTTCATTTGATGTTTGAAGTCTAGACTATAAATATATGACTACACTATCACCCTAATGACTTTTCAATCAAGGTGTTAAATCATTTCGTTATTCACCATAGTGTTAAACAAATGAATTGTAATACAATAAAACAATTCAATATCCTATGATAAGTAAAACCAAAGTTGATTTAAATTTAAATTAAATCGTAGATTTTCTATACTAAGACGTACAGACTATAATACGCATTTAGATTGTTATTCTAGAAAAAGACAAGAGTTTCAATGAGTCTTTAACTTCAATATCACATGTTTGATTAGATGCGTAATTATTATTACATAACTGAATACTGTATTAGTTGTTGATACTTAATGATCTAATAAGTAGTTAGAAAAAAGAAAGAAAAAGAATGTGTTATGTTTGAAGAAATTTTGTCTTTTTCTCCCCTGTAGTTTCGTAAATATCCACATATACATTTTGCATTCTAGTTCTTCCGTTTATTTATTATTACAGTAAATTACGTCAGATAGAACAAAAATAAGGGAGGTAATGAAACAAAATCATATTGAACAACAATTTAGAGAATAGTAAAGGATGAGTTAAAGTTAACATTTTATAAATGGCATTTGGTTGTACCAACTAGTGTCTCTTACTTTAGATTAAGGTTACTGGGTTAGCCATAACTAGTAAGTCTGCATCTTCTCTTATGAACCAGAAAAATTCATTAAGTTAACAAATCATAAAGGCAGCTTATAAGTAATTCAATTCTTGTTACTTTATTGAAGTAGTTTATTTAATCCAAGTTTGTCAATAAGTTAAAAGTGATTCTCTCAAACAGATTCATTATTCAATGTGTGCTTATATGAACATAAACAAATCTACGTAATTTTGACAGTTAAGTTCATAAGTCAATCTAAGCTAAACTGGTTAACATACTTAGTTACAGAACAGATACAACATTCATGTAAACATACACTCTGTCGAACCATTTATTTGAAACTCTTTTATTACGTATAGTACAAACTTCTACTTCATTAAAACGGAGTCTACAGTCAAATACGTTCAAAATATACTCTGTCACAAGTGTTTAATATTTTTTGTATAAGTTTTATAATCACTGGCCAATTTCAAGCTAATAAATAACACTATTTAATGCAATAAATGAAGCTTTTTCTTTCTGACAAAATAGTCTTTTGACTAAATATTCAATGGATCATTTTTTAAACGTAGATACCGGTTTATCTAATCACTAACGAGATATCGCATGTATTACTTAAATATCAATAGTTGAGTGGTAATTATCAGAAATGTTTATGGTTAAGCTAGGAAGCACATCGCAATTATTCCAATCAAGTTTATAACCCACATTTGAAATACGGCATCTATGTTTGGACGACATTGAGATGTTGCGGGTACCCTTATGAACAAAAACAATTAAAATTATTGCAGTGTAATGGGGTTAGAAAAATAACTGTGTTTACTTATTAATTATTGATACATAAAAGAAGAGTTTGACACTTAGCTAATTATCCTAATCATGTGGATTTTACAATTAAAAAGATATAAAAAACGTAATGTTATTGAGCACTTTCCAAGTAACATAAGGATTCCTACAGAGAGAATATAAAATGAACGACTACACTCAAGTATTCTCTTTACAAAAACGTAAAAGACATGAATTCATAAATACCGTTTTACAGTACAGAGTGTATAATATTCATAAAACCTCTAAG